TCGGGTTCCTTGCATGGAAAAATCCATACAAGGAGAGTCCATCAAATTCATTTTTTGAGTGTCGCGTAACTTTGTCGCATGCTTTTTTCCGTTTTCACTCTAAGCAAATTGCCCTTGTCGCTGAGACCAACCACATGGCAACTGATAGTTAGCGCAAGTTTTTAACGTCTGCGTTGCCTCACCGATCCATGCATAACTCTGGCATTTGACATCTGGCATATGGCATCATCTAGCATATGGCATCATCTGGCATCTGGTGGGTAGCTGGCGCAAGGCAACAGCTATCCAGGTGAGCAAAAATAAACTCCGCAAGGCATATCCATATTAGTCCGAAAAGGATCGGCGAGAACAAGAAGCTTTGCTGGCAACAAGCGCAAATAGAAATAAACTACGTGGATACAACTCAGAATGTTGAAGCCTGCATGACACCTCGCAGATCAACACCACATCTTCGTTTAACAGCATGCCATTCAGGACGTCTTTCTAGTCCTGTCTCTGATCCGTATCTATCCTGTCTTGTCCGCACCGTCCTGACCTAATCTCTGATCAGCTGCCTCCCTCCACACCGGGCTTTTGCCGTTCCCATCCCCCCGCCGCTGGCCGCGGGTGACGGGACACCGTCCCCCCTATCCGACGCGAGGTCACCCCCTCCCTCCTGACAGCGAGCCTGGCCGGCCAGACTGCTGATTAGCGATAACCGGAAGGCCACAACGGCTCCCAGACACGCCTCAGGCCACCCTGCTTCAGGGAAGCCATCGGAAGGAGCCGTCGTTGGGCCGCGCGTTATCATTAGGGAACGTGGCCGCCTGCCAACGCAAGCGGCGTTAATCCAGGTCGCAGCTTACTTTGCACGCCTAGTTCTCTTGGAACGCCGAACGCTCCCGCAGTCGCGCCGTTTTTCCCCAGGAGAGAGCGACCCAGGCGCCCACCGCGAACACCCAACACACGATCCAGTTCGTCTTCTGTTTGTTACGGGAACGCGACGCGCGCTGCCGCGGCCTTTTTATGGATCGCCAGCGACTGCAATGGTCATATGAGCACTCACGGCCATAGCGCTACCGAGATTCGAACCCCGGCTCTCACGTGGGAGTCTGACGCTCTCACAATTCGGCTCTTACGTCCCGTGGACTGCGTCCTCAAACTGACTGATCGGACACAATAGTTTATTCACAAGGTGGTGCGAGCCACCGCACCGCAGCCTCTCAAAGTACAAAACACGACTCCGCGGCACATTCACCCCTCACATCCCACTCATCATCCGACAGGCGCACTCCTCGACACAACACGCCGCCGGCGCCCGTCTGTCTGTGACGTCACAGACCGCGCCGTGACGTCATCCGAGAGGCACTCCTCGACACAACACGCCGCCGGCGCCTGACGGTCTGTGACGTCACAGACCGTGCCGTGACGTCATCCCTGCCGACCGCGCGCCGTCACAGTCCGCCGCGGCTCTCCGCCGCTCCAGCTCAGCCGTACGTGTAGTGGGCGTAGGCGCGGTTCGCCTCGCATTGTCGGTGTAGCTCCTGCTTCAGGCGCACCACGCGGCCCTGCCGGAGCGCCGTCAGCGGTGAGCCGAGGGGGAGGCAGCGAACGGAGGGGCAGGGGCGCTGGGAGACGCCAGGGCCCGCCCCGATAACAGCGAGAGGACAGGGCGGAGCTGGGCGGGACGCGGCGGGCGATGGGGCGTGATCCAGTCAGCGACACCGGGGGAGGCGTGGTCAGCCCGTCGCCGGGGGCAGGTGAGACGGCGAGGGCTCGGATTCGACGAAGGCGACGCCGCGGCTGATCTGCCGCGGGAGAGTGACGGATGTGTTGGAGCGGACGAGACAGTCACGGTCAGCTGATAGATAGAGTCTGGGCGAGGCCGCAGCCGGCCAGCCGGGAGACGGTATGGGTATGGGGCGGGGGGGGGGAGGGGATCGCGGTCACACCCGGCTCAGCTGCCAGCGTGTTTCACCGCGAAGGGCAGCTTAATCGGTCTAGACGCCGACGAACTGGTGACAGACGGGCAAGGTCAAAACCGGCCGGTGCGACGGCTGATACGAGACAGCGGGGGATGACAGGAACGCCAGCTGACTGGACTGGCTGTGGACTTATCAGGGAGACATCACTGAGATGGAATCGAACACCGCCGCATCGCACCCAAACACGCACGGGATTTTAAAGGCTGAAACAACGCCAAACAAGCCCAATATACAGGGAGCGAGCACCCAGTGCCGGGCCCAAATAGAATATCACTAGCCAGCCGAGTGGACGATCCATGAGCATGGTGCATGATGACACACGACATCATGACATGCCGAGTGGATGATACGAGGGCATGACACATGATGCCACACGACATGATGACACACATGCCACCGAGTGGACGTCATTAGAGCATGTGAGCCGGTGATATCGGTCGGCGCACACCAGGGCGGCGCCAACCCCTCCACACCATGCTCCTAGTCAGAGGACCACCACGATCCCGGTGGATCATCACGACCCAGGAGCCGGCGAGGCCGAACACGCCGCCCCGCCCCAGACAAACGCTCAGATCCACAGCCGCCAAAACATGCCCGTCCGTGTCACTTCTTGCCAGCGGAGAAAACGGACGCTGACGCTAATCGGTGTTAATGGGCGCTGGCTCAGCCGGATCGGCCCACCCAGCCCGCAGGCGCCCCCGCCGCCGAGCGGGGTCAGCCGACGTCCAGGGGTCACTGCGGACTGATCGCGGTTAGTCTCCGCTTCTGACGTCGGTGATTCTCGGCCGTCGCCGAGTGACAGCGTCCGACCACAATTCAGTCAACCTTAATGAGGACCAGTCGTAAAAACGGAGCCGCCAGAGTCAGACACAGGAACGCGCCGGGGTATAACTCAATGCTTTGGGTTCAGGTCGACAGGCGCACTCGTCAACGTCAGCGATCGTTCCGACATCTGTCGGCGTCGGTCTGAACTGGCAGCAGAATCCGGAGCAGAAGGCCTGCCAGCGTGGAGGTGGCAGATGTGCGTTTGATGACGCACTGATACCGTATCACGCGCTGGGAATTACCATCTCGCGTGGTAGAAATTATCATCCCGCGCATCCCACGCACTGAAAATTGCCATCCCATGACGCAGTTCATGCAGCAAGGCTGTACCAGGCTTTGGCATCACGCCCGCCAACATATATAAATCAGTCTCGCCCGTTTTGCATCAAGATTTTGCGTGCGATTTGCATTCATATCTTGTGTTGACCCAATCAGCGGGATACGGACAAATAACCCACACAAGAATACTAAAAAACGCTGTTTCATGAACAACGACAAGACTAAAACAACAAAGTGAGAAAGCAGCGAAGCCGACATACGAAGTGAGCCTACGAAATGAACAGACGACTACGTATCACATGCTATCGTCATGACTACCGTTACTAACACTCGCGTAAGCACACATGTGATCAATTCACGACAAAGACCCGCATAGACGTACGACTGCACCCCGGCCAGGCCCCGAGCATTCTATCCCCAACGTCGCGGGAGGCCGATCTCCGGGCTCGCACCAAAGCTGAAGTCGAACCTCCGAGAACAACACACCCCCACCCGCCGCCGGTCGACCGTCCGCAGCGAGCCGCCCCCACCTGACCACCATCAACACGAGCGCCAGCGCCCGGCCGCTCTCCCGGTCCAGTGACGGGGTGAGCGGCAGCTGGTGCGGCGGCTTAGTGACGGGGTAAGCAACAGGTGGTGCGGCAGCGAACAAGCGGTTGCTGACGTCCGGCCCAGATGAGGTACAATAACACTGGAGCGAGCCGGCGGCGCCCGAGCGGCCCGCTGACGGCAGGCCGGGGCTCAGGAGCGGCAGGAGCAGCTCACAGGCTGGGGCCCAGAAGCGGCAGAAGGAGCTTACAGACCGGGGCTCAGGAGCGGCGGAAGGAGCTCAAAGGCCGGGAGCGCCAGAAGGAGCTCAACGCCAAAACTGGCCGATGACATACTTGTTTACTGACGTTTCAGCTGCTAT